AAACTATGCATTTTTTTGTATGTAAAATGTAAAAATAACCCAAACAGAAACCATAGGAAAATCAATAAAGTTTAAGCAATTCTCGTGTTGAAAATATGTGAACTATTAAAAAAGAAACAAGAATAAAAATAAAAGCTTTTATTAGTTTTCGCAGTAAATATTTTAATTTATCGTGTTTTACATGAATGTACTTAATTGCACAAGTATTTCGAAAGTTTACTGAACTTTCGCCAAAAATTTCTTATGTACGCATGCATACTTAATGTATACAGGGTGCTCCTTAAGAAAGTATCATAACAGTGGAAAGTGATTTTTTGATAGAAGATGTGAAAGAAATCGTATGAAATGGTGTCGTGGGATGCCATGTTCAATATTAGTGAAGATAAAGTCAAAAAACGGCAAATCTCTCAAAAATGCTTTATTCAAACAGAATTATACATACATTATATTTTTAAAATATATTTTTATTTTAAGTTGATTTAATATACAGTCAAATTTCCATACCTCGAACTTCTATAACTCCAACTAAATAGAGTGCAACACGGTTTGGAGAGCACATTAAGTTGAACCTTTGCTTTGCAAAATGGTACTTCGAGTTATGGAAGTTTGACTGTATTTTATTCCGATGTCCCAATGTTTCAATGTTTTTTACTTAAATATGGTAGATTTCTTAAATGTTGATGATACAATATTAATTTTTGTGTAAAATCATCGACGTTTCATACTAGAATTAGTTTATTTTGTTCTGATTTATTTTAAAATTTGTTTTGTTTTTTTATAATCTGCTTCTAAAGCGATATTGAGCGGTACTTATACTAAGTATTTTTTTGACTAAAACTCAGAAAGTTGCCTGAGCGTATGAGTATTAATAAGTAAAATTGTATCTGTACTTTTTGCAACCCTATATATTAAGCATATACGTATAAATATATATATAACTTACACATATAAACATATATTATGCATACACATGTATACATATATTATACATATCTAACAGTACTAATAGTAGGTACAGTGGCAAGGCAGGGAAATATATTTAAACATATTTTTTTGCAGTTTATTAAATTATAATAAAAGTTAAGGATTTTGCAATGGAGGGAATAAATAATAAAATATGTTTTTTTCAAATATATTTTATAAAAATGTTTTCTTATCAAAGCGTATAAAAATCTGTTTTTTCAGTATTTCTTAACCGAAATAGTCACAAGTAATGCCTTTATAGCACCAAATGGGTTCAGTTGCTTTTCTTGTAAGATTGGTTGTAAATAAAAATTCTGACTTTACTTACTACAAAAACGAATTTAGTGACAAATATTGCGCTTACCAAAAAAATTAAATATTTTTAAATAATTAAAAATAAAAATAAACTTTCGCATATATATTTTTAAGATTATCGACTTTCTTCCTAGTCAACATTTATAGTCGAAGGGCGAAAATAGCTTTGGTGGATACAAATAAACTTATCTGGCAACACTGACGTTAATATGTATAAGTAGAAAAAAATTCTTTACTTATTATTTAGTTTTTTTACCATAAACTTTCAAAATAAAATTCTGGTTTACATGTTTTTTGTGTTTATATTTATATAGACCCTTTCTACAAAAAGTTTTGAACGTTTTGAAGTTTTTTGACTTCAAGAACTGATCTGTGTATTGTGGAACTATGGTTATTTATAAATAATTAATTTAAATAATAAAAAAAACTGAGATACTATACGAAAATAATTCTTATTGGTATTATCTTCAGGAGTATAACATTCTCTCTGTTTATAAACTGAGACTAATTATTTCTTTTAATTAATTTTTCATGTTATATATAAAAGTTTACAAGTTTTTCCAACACTTTTCACTTATCATTATTAATATTTTTAGTTAATATTAATATTAAAATATAAAAAAAAATAATTCAGAAATGTATAGTTTTTACATTGCCCGGATTTGTCTCCTGCCTCTCTGAATATGCTGCCGTGTTTAATTTTGTGTTTTGTGTTGATTTTGTGTTGGTTTACTTTAGTGGAATCTTTAAAATTGGATCACGAAAATTCCTCAGTGAAGAGCTCATAAAATTAATTTTTAAGAGAAATAAAATATTTTATTCTGTTTTAAGATTAATTTATTTAAAATAAATTATTTATTAAAATAATTAGTTAGGTATATTTAAGACAATTAGCTTTAGATATAGTTTTTGTTTTGCATTATGGTGCTTAATTATACATATCATCAAAAAGAAAATATACAAATAGAACCTGATATCAAACTTTCTATTTTTATCTAATGTCTTGTTTTTATTATTGAAAAGCATCTGTCTTTAATTTTTTATAATATATAATTTATTGTTAATAAAATTAACGAATTATATTGAAAAAGCTGGGTTGATAAAAATTAGTGATAAAATGCTGCAAATTATGATTCGGAAACAAAATTCATATTCTGGTAGCGGATCTCGAAGTTGTTGTTATAAATATTTATTTCAAAACCTTTATTGAAAGTATATTTATTAGTTTATTAGTTTATTAGTCTTCTTCACATTATCGTATTTGAGAAAGATAACTTTAGTCATTATCCACCTATATAAAGTCTCTAATATATTCTTATATTAGTTAAATAGGACGGCCAGTCAACAAATTGGTTTATATTCACAAATTTGATCAAATAACTGTGAAGTTGGAGAATGTGTTTCTTTCTAAAATGGCCTTCATTTAAAGGTGGATTTAAATTTATTCATTAAATTCATTTAACTAACTAACTAATTCTAACTAATTCTAAATAATTAATTAATTCTTAATTTATTTTATATAATCTATTATTGCTAAGTGTTGTGTTTTCTTATTTATTACAGAATTTCTTAAATAGAGCAAATTATAAAATCAATAGAATTCAAAAGTATTACAAAATTTCATTTGCAATAGAACAAAAATAAAATTTTATTTTTATTTCTTGTTACCAACACTTGTTGATGAATAGGCATTTATTACCTTAAAGAAATGTTATAACAGTTTCTTCTGTTATGTCATATTAGACATGTATGTAAACCTTCCATTCAACATGAGTGTCAGATTAAGGGTTAAGCTGAAACCATAAAGTGCAGAAATATTTTTCTATTTTCTTATTGCTGTCAGCTGTTGTATTTATTTTAGTATGTTTATTGTATACAAATTATTTTGTAAGTAGGTAGGTTGTAATGGAGTCCAATTTAGGTCTTCACAATTATTCCTTATTTACTCATTTGTTTTAAATACATTTTCTTAATTAGATGAGTTCAGACGACTAAAATCGGACGTTTATCTGCTGAACATTGATTGAGTTCTCTATTCTACTTTTCCCAGTCTTTCTATTTAATTCATAGTCTCACTTTTTTTCGCCAAATTTTGTTTTATCATCTCGGAAATGTACAATCCATTTATTACAATTGACTTTATTCACTTATTAAAAACTCTGCAGTATTAAATAAGATATTAAATATTTATAATAAAATTTTCTAGAAGATTTATCTGCAAACTTTCTCTTAGTCTATTAGTAGAAAGGTTTCCTTTATAGTTGAATAATTGGTGGTTATTATAATGCTTATTCTCTAAAGGAAAATACAATCATCGAGTATATTGGTGTTTCTGGGACTAGCAAATAAGTGGTACTTGGGTAGGAGTGTTTAAGCTAAGAACCAAATATGTAAAATCTATGAAAAAATATTTGAACTGAGATATATGCTTTAAAAGAGGTGTTCAATTTAATCTATACAGTGAATACAAAGGACAAAACATAGTCATACTATATCAAATTGCGATTAAACCATTAATTTCAAATGAAGTGGAATTATCTGTTTAAGTTAATTTATTAAGTAGGACAACAAAGTCAACTACTCTCGGGTTCAGATAAGTAAGCACCTCGACAGAAAAGGAACTTCGAACATAATAATTATGGAATAAAGCTAATTATGTTGGATACTATGGAATAAAGCACTTATTCTTATAAGTAATTCTTATAAGAAGAATCATAAGAATTCTTTTAAGTTTAAGAATATCTACATTCTTTTTCAGTAACTAAACTAGCAGGTGATGTAAATTCGTGTATCGATGAACACATTAAAAAGTTGTCAAAGTCAAGCTGGGCAAATTCCATATCCAGATATTGTGCTAACAAAACTTAATCCCAATATTTAATCCCAGACAAATAACAACGCTAAATACAGTCGTCATTGTTGAGATGTTGAGGATAATAACAACGGATAACATTGTAAAGAGTGACTAGTACTAGTAGATTGTAGCACGATAGATTATTTCTTCGCAGTAACTTATTTTCTTCACATTTACAAAATTATATAAAATAGCTGATTTTATTTAAACTGATCATTATAAAATTATCCAGTTACTATGAAATTCACTCAAAAAGTTTTCCTACGGATAAAAAAAACTGATAGCATACTTTTAGGATTTGTTTAAGTATATTATATTTCGATTCTATGATTTTTTATAGTACTTCAAAGACCAAAAATAATAAATATATTTATTTTATTTATATTTATTATTTTTACTGAAATTGAGTAAGCACAGAGCAGAAATATTTAATAAAATAAAATTCACAATTTTTAAAACGGCTTATGCAATACTCTTTATTTGGTAGTATATTTTTCTCTGCAGAAATGGCCAAACTATATCCAATACAATTTACAAATTACCTTAACATTTATACTCTCTGTACATTAAGCATTACATCTGTTAAGTTTTCAAAATTAATATATTTATTATATTTTTCATAATATTTATAAAACTTATTATTGAGATATCTTATCAATATATTATAGTTAATCATATAATTTTAATTTTTTTGCAGAAAAACGCTATAAGAAAATCTAGAGAATTGCCATTAGGAAAACTGAAGGATAATCAATATATAATTAATCAAGATAAAGGAAAAATCATATAATTTTAATTGATATTTTTTATTATAATAAAAATTCTTTTTTACATTAAAAAAGAATTCATAAAAACAAATTCGTGAAATGAAAATACAAAATCAATTTATTAAAAAATTTTATATACATTAATAAATATATTTTTATATAAATATACGCACTGCACTTTAAGCATAAAGCAAACCAATTCAAATAAAACGTCCTAAAGGAGAGATCTTGAAGTAAAAAACTTGTACCTGGTCGGATCTACCAAAAATACATCCTTTTTGCTCTTAAATAGAGCAATTAGAAATTTAAAAACGAAATTCATATTATTTTTATGAATTATTTGATATAGAAAAATGGCAGATATGCAAATTCAAACGACCTCTAGCAAAACGTTAGTGGAAAACCATAACGACACATTAGCAGCGACACTAGAGCCCAATAGTGCGCCTGCACCAGTATTGACTAGGCTTGGAGTAGCAACGCTTAGCGAAAGTTATCAACTTGTCAAGCAAAGACAAAAAAAATATAATGAATTAAGTGCCAGAAACAATGAAACTATGTTAGACACTTCAAAACTTAAAAATGACAATCAAGGCGAATGGCAAGAAGTTTGTTCATCAAAAAACAAACTGAAACGTAAAAAGAAACTATCTGCTTCACTTACATCTGTGACAGATACAGTTAATCAAGAGAAACGCACACGTATTGAAGGAATACAACTTAATTGTCGTGGTAAACTACAGATAAATCAGGTCCTTTCTGCGCCTGAAACGCCTACACATAATTGCATTGGCGCAATGCCAAAAAGTACTGAGAAACTTACAACTAAACCACCACTGCCTCCAACATTAAATGTAACCAAAACTACACAGAATGTTAATGCAGGAGGTACAACCGTTACAACACCACCACCGCGACTTAAAAGAAAATTACAGGAAAATGTACAAACTATACAGAAGTTGAATGCACTTACCGAACAGTTACGTTTGGAAATCAATGAATTAAAGTCCAGTTTGACTACAGAACGTGGAGCGGTACGGGTATTGAGGTAAGTTCTATGATTTAGTTTTCAAAAAAGTTTCAAAGCCTGTTTTCAACATAAAAGTGAGCACTATCCCAGTTAAATATTTTTAACATATAAGATTTTACTATTGAAACTAATACTATTCTTTCTGCAGAGCCCAAAACGAATCAGAAACTCGCAAGTGGAAAAATGAAGTGAAAAAATTACAGAATGCCTTAGACGTTTCTAAAAAGTCTACAACACTGGCACCAATTAATATTAAAAAGAATATAGATGCAGCGAATGCAGAAAATTTACTAGGCTCAGCAACAGGAAGCTTGGCCAATTATGAAGTACAGAGACTGACAAATGAGATTATAACACTTAAGGAAGCAAATAAATCTTTAGAAGAAAAGAAATTGGTAAGTGCTGATATTATATATTTGCATGGCATTTAACGGATTTTACTTGCATAAAATAGCGTTGTAGTTAAATAAATTAAAGTGCTTTAAACCTACTAATAATTTTCCGTTTTATAGCCCGTAAGCGTCATCTCCATAAAAGCTCTCCTATGAATACAAAAAATGCCAAAATAAGTCCAATAGATAACAAACAAAAAGCAGCTTGGAAATGTGCCACTTTAAGCACTACAAGATCATCATCGCTTTGTTTTCTACGAAATACACTCCTACCAGATTTGAGGAAAGCTGAATTCATTAAATTTTCCCAACGTACCACGAAACCAAATTCATGTGCACCGCGCACTAAGTGGTTGACGAAACCTATGTATGGGGAACCATATGGTAGTATGTAGACTGCATGAAAGGGTACCAAGCAGGTATTCATCAAGTGGAAAAGTGGTCGTCCCTTGCTTGTGTGCTTGCGTGCAACTATTTGAAATAGTGCCACATGGTACTTTTGCAAGTAGGCATATGAACGATTATTGGACTCAAGAAGTGTAGTAATCTCATAATCCGTTTGAACTCTTAATTTTCGTTTGATCATTGCTTCGTAAGGATTACTTTCATTTAAAAATATATGTATATGCTTGTGATGTCGCCTGTACAATATTAAATCATATTGCGATAGTGCCAAATCTTTAATAGTATTTACATCTGGTAGATATGTACGAAAGACTAAATTACTGGTTAAATTGCCTTTGAAGGCTCCCGTTATAAGTAGTCCATAAAAAAGCCATAAAAAGAGTATAAAACGTAGTGATATTTTTGCTGGTACTCGAGTCATTGGCATGGATAATGTACTGGCCAAAAGTTGTAAAAGTATGTGTTCCTTCCAACACAAACGTCCATAAAATATTATGCAAAACAAATACGCTATAAGTATAGATAATAATATAGAAATCCATACCTTCAGCTTAAACGAGCGAAATAGATTCCAAAAAATTGAAGCTACTTTTGCTTTTGGCACTATAACACATAAATCATCGCGTATTTGTACTGTTGTGTATTCCACATAGTTCTCAAAAGTTTCTGGTGCCAAGAAACGTATATTCATTGCTATGTCATCAATTTCATCTTCTACTTCCTTAAAACATATATCGGCACTTCTATTTTCTTTAAGGTCCGCTTGTGAGCTTATACGGTCTATAATACGTGTGGCATTTAAACGTTCTGCTATATACTCAGACATAAGTCCATCTGAACCGATTATTCGGTTATTACTCAAAAATATAGCACGTATTTCATCATGGTATAGGCACATGCGTAAGGGTTTGCCTTGCATATCAGGCAGTTTTTTAGGAAATAAATCGGTAATTTGTGGTATGCGGCCGATATATTTAACTGGTATTAAATAATTGTCCATGAAAGGGTTGTAACGATATACACGTAGACTATAATTTCGCCAGAACATAATGGCTACATTTAAAACCCATTTTTTCCAAAATTTTATAAATGCATTACGAAGCCATTTATTTGTTATGGCCTTCGAGTCCTGTATAAGTATTATAACATGTGTGAGATGTTTTGCCCCCGATTTCTTCTTAATTAACGATAGTTCTATAGGTTGTGTAGCGTCATGTTGTATCATGATAAGATACATAAGGGTGCCATCATCATTAATAACTTCCAATGGTGCTGTTCTGTATTTATTTCTGAAACATAAAGAAAATAAATAAATAAATGAAATTATTATATAATTATTATAGATAAATCTAATAATTAAAATTACATAGAATTTTGATTGATTAAAAATTAGAAAAAAATCTTTAAACATAAATTACATAAAAATTTGGTCAGATGCGTAGAGACAGGTCGACATCACGAAAAGACTAATTTAAAATAAAGAAATATTAAAGAAAAATTGTCAATAAACATGTCCTTATTAAAAGTTAGGCGTACTCTTTCAATATAGTATAATTTAAAAAATTACTCCTTATATTAAGTTTCTTCACTTCGACATAAAATTACAATAATGTTTAAAGGAACACAATGGCAGAGTCAGTTAAAGGCTTAGAATTAACAATTGAATCTCCAGTTTCGAATCCCATCGTTCTAATAATTGTGTTAATAAACTGTATGTAGAAGTATATTATAGTCTAATTCTTATTGTAAATACTGTGATTTCCTTTGGTCATTGTTGCCATAAGGAAAAAGAGGAAAACTCTATCATCCAGTTACTCTCCCACTATCTGTACTACTGCCGTCATCATTTCTTATAATCTTATTATGAAATGTGGATAATAAAGGTAGATAATAAAAGGTTTTAAGCTTTGTAATTAATGCATTTGCGGCTAAAATAACGTAATCCAATCTGGTCAACTTATAATTTTTGTAGATTGAACTTGTATTAGATTTAGTGCAATATACTTTTAAAATGAATTATATAGTTTAGATAAACAAAAATAGGAGTTGTCGTAGCTGGGTTAATTTTCTATTTCTTGAGAATTTTGTTTGATTCTCTTTGCCCGTGAACTCTCCAACTCAGTTTGAAGCTGTTTTATGCTGTTTTTACATGTCCAAATAAAATTGCCCATTTTGTTTAGAGAAAATCATAAATCTTGATTCATTGCTGAGCCACTAACTACGAGAAACTTCAAATAGTGGTAATCGATTGAATTGATGTTATTTTTTTTTTTTGATTATTGCATAGTCTTTTTTAAGACTATCCTAAGTTGGGGACATCCTTATAGGTACTATATACATGAAGATTGATTGGTTAATTATATTTTCTAACTTTTTGTTGTAAAAGTATTTTTAATAGACTTTAGCAAGATTCTATATCTTTATAGATTCAGATTTAGTTATACGTATGTATAAATATTGTTAGTGTATAAGTGTGGAGAAGATCTACAATATCGTGGAATACATATGTGCTATTTTTCTAATTGGTTGCGAACTATTGTATTCTAGGAGAAAAGTGATCGAAGAAAAATTGTAGAAAGTAAATTGTTCCTGAAGTGACATTTCTCGAAAGTTTGATACAAAAGCACGATTGAATTCTCTGCTCCACGTGAAGAATAATCTAACACAGATTGTGTTACGCTATATTTCCACAATAAAATTGTTTGATATGTATTTTATTTTAATATATGTATATTTAAAAATCAACATAACTTACCGCATCGTTATATAGGATATGCCACATCTTGTTAATTCTTGTACAATTTGTCCAGGATAACTGAGTGACGTTTTATTCTCGAAATATACGTTCACTGTTTTTGGTTGAAAACTGCAAAACATGTCACTAGTATATTCAATCAAATCTAATTTTGCCGAAGTATTTAAAACAATTCCACAGTTGACAAAATTTATGGAAATACTCCAAAATGCAAAAAATTTCCAAAGCCATAAAACTAAGAACGTCATATCCACTAATGAATGCAACTTATGCAACTGTTGCTCCTAACCATGAAGTCAGTTGTTTTTATAGATGCGTGCGAAATCGAATTTCAATGGTTCAATTTGTGGAGAAGTATAACATTAATGAGATGCCATCATGCATACAATTTGTTAATGAAATTCTTTTGCATTGTTTGTTGTTGTAATGCAAACTAAAAGGTTACAATCGAATAGGAGGATAGCTTATGTCAGTTTTACACCGTCATATTTGCAAAATTGACAGCAACGGGCAAATATTTTTATTACTCAATTATTGACAGTCGTTGTCAGTCGATGTTATGTTACTTAAAACAATACACAAGTGTAGTTAAAGAGAGCTCGTGTGAAAAAGTACATTAATTAAATTAAAACTTAACTAACAAAAAAAAAGCAGATTACTTTGGCTACTGTAAGATAGCAAAAAAAAATTCTAAATAATTTTTATTTTTTTATAGCAATTTATTAATGCATATTTGTTTTTATTAACATAAGATTTAATCGTTCTCTGATTTGTTTATATTTGAATTTGCCATTGTTTTTCGCACTAACATTGCATGTAGCAGCATTTTTGTGAATTTGTTGAACAAATGTTTCACGTCCTACTGATTTACAACATTTGGACGTATTTGTTATTGTATTTGCGTTGTTGTCAATCTCAAAGAAAATGAATTAATCAATTAAAAAAAAACGAAAACAATAAATTTTCCAGATTAATTGCGACGCTGATAGACGTAAAGCAGCTGATATGCGCACATTAAAAGATTCTTATGAAATCCGATTGACTCAATTAACTAAATCTGCCAAAACTGAAATATCACGTTTGGTAAGTTTATGTTTAAAATAAGTTCTTAGGCATTTAAAGAAGAGAAAACAAAATAACGTACACAAATTTCATGCAAGTTCATATACGACTACTATACTATTGAATAAGTTCTCGATGCATCATCTATTACTAAATAATAGATCTAAAACTGTTTTTCTTTAATAACAAAAAAATTTAGAGTTGAGCAGATTTGTTGTTTCAAAGTGATTGCACAAATTGTAAAGACGACCTCGTAAAAAACATCCAAAATCTGCATGAACGTCAAAAATTGAGATTTAGTTAAAGATCTATGTCATTCATTAGGCAGAGTGCTCAGTATTTTATGTCATTTTCAGTTTCAAAAAGCATAATAACGGGTGCACAGTAACAAAAGCATATTCGTATGAATAACCTAAATAAAAAAGATTTTTTATTCCTTTCTTACCTAAAGATAAAAATAGGGTGTACCACGATGGTACATAATCAAAATAAGAAGCTAAGATGTGGGGAGAAGCCGTTTATTCGGTTCCGAAAGTGAGTTTGCATACATTAAATATAGAGGGGTAGATAAATTATTTTAATAATAATAATGATATTAAAGTTAGTAGTCCCATGAAGCAAACACATCTACTAACAGAACTTATTTAATATTTTGAAATCACAATTTCAAGATTTATTTTCATTATTCCTTAATTTCTTTGCATTTATCTTTCATAAGGGTTCATTAAAAATTTAAAAACTATATAAACTAAAAGTCGGTTTTGTTTTTTAAGGAATTTTAGTTTTTATTTCGATTGTTATTTTTTGTAGGAGAATTCCTAATATTGTTTATATTTTAAGATCAAAGCGTTGGTTTAATTACACTTTGACCCTTTTGAGTATATCTCTTTTAAAGACTTAGAGAAAAGGACTTTAAATATATATATCTATATAAATTAACTTTAGTTAATTATATAATTAATAATTTAATTAGCTTAAGTTATTATTATTCTATATTCTATTAGGAGCTTAAGGGCTCAACAAAAGTTTTCCAACGGTTTCTATTTCGTGCTACTTGCTCTTATTTGTTAAACAATTTCCCAGTTTTGTGAAGTACTCTCCTGGAGTACCCTTCCTCCAAGTGATTTTGAACTAGTGTACGCACATTTCACTTAGCAAATCGGGTCCTTTTCCGTATGCCAATGTTCGTCACCAAAAAGTCAGTCCAGTTTGTTTTTTTTATTGATAATTGTGGTTTCAGAGATCGTAGGCTATCAACCTTCAATATCCATAGTTTGATGGCAAGGCATAGTCATTTCCTACTATGCTTGGATGTTTATATTGATATACCGTTGTCAACTCGGTCGCAAGAGCCTCTTTTCTGGTAACAGGGAGTACTGACGAGAAGGACGAGGTTAACATTTTGATCGGAAAGGCTGTTTGAGACGCATTTCAACCTCTTACAGCCTAAAGCTTTATCATAGTTAACAGCTTGGAAAGTTGATTAAGGTTGCAGTTGATGAGATAGTTAGTAGATAGTGATAACATGTTTCAAAGAAAGAGAATAGTTGAGAAAGTCTGCAATTATTCCTCTACTATAAATTAAATTACCAAAGAGCCGTTATCGTTTCAAAACGATTAGTTTTTTTCTATATTAAAAATTTCTATAGCGCCAATTTAAAGTGACAAGTTGTCGTGACAAAATTTGTAAAACTTTTATATTAATTGTATTTTAATTTATTTTCTATAATAGTTATACTATATTAAACTCAAATTATTTGAACTATAATGCTTTCAATATGATATCTTGATATGTGGGAATTGAGAAGCAATTGTATACACATATAATTTTAGTGCAGTATCATCTGTTATTTATTTTATACAATTCTAACACTTCAAATCTAAGTTGTTGAGTAACCTTAATTATTATTTAATAATGCTTATTTATGTTTTAAATTTCATGCATCTGATAAAAAACGGAGAAGAACTCATTACAATCAAACATGGTAAATGCATTTACCTAACCTTAATCAATTTGTTCTTTAGGTTAACATTATTTATGACTGCAACACAAATTATGTTAAACTAATGCACTGTAATTCATATTAAGTTTAACAACAACAAATTCTTGTTAGCTTATCTTAAGCATTGAAAGAACGCACGTTCTATACAAATTATTTTAGGAAACCAGAAAGAATACAACTATTAAATTAATATTTTTTTTTTATTTTTTTTTATCATTTTACGTCTTCATGACTCACCGTTCTTATGCTTGTACCTTTCGTATGTTGCACAGCATAAGCGCATCTCTAGCAACTTGTTGCTATGTATTTGGTCTTGATTCTCACGATCTTATGAATGAAGTTTGATAGGTTTTCTTTTTGTGGATTTAGTACAAAAAATACTAAAATGCTTTAGGCATTTTGCATTACTCTAATCAATGGTTTCAGTAGTTTTGATTTGAGACTTAAAGTTACTGAGGGCGTGTGTGCATAAAGATTCTTTTTCTTTTCTACGTAATATTTGTTGCAGGACAGGATGGAGGTTGTACCTTAGTTGTATATAAATAATTTACAAAAATATACTTGCAGTTTATTAGACTTCTCAATTTCTCTTTAAAAAAATTCACTAATAATCATGAGTTAAAAATGATGAAAAGTTTAAAAAATTTATTAAAATACATTTTAACTAGAAAAATATATTTTACAGATATTTAAAATTAATTTTAAAGTTAACTCATAAATAAAATAAAATAAGTAAAAATATATTATACAGAAAAGTTTTAGATTATTAACATATATTAAACTCATAATATCAAAATAAAAATATATTAAATTCTTTAATGAGATTTTGGCTTAATGACGATTTGGCTTTAACGTAATTAACTTACAACTACTTATTATATATTATGCGATAAATTAATAACCTATGTGTCATATGTAGATATCAGACTTTAAAATTAAATACTATAACAAATACTATATATTAGTAATACTATATATTTATTATAAATATTATATATTATTAAAAATATATTTATATGTATATTTATTAACAATAATTATGATATCATTTCGAGATATATGTATATAATAAGAAAACCGCACTTTTATCGTTCAATTTATATGACGTCACTAGAGACAGTCAATTGTCCTTGGTTATTTTGACATATATGCAAGTTGCAGTCTCAGGCTCTAACCTCTAAATATAATTTTCATTTCAAAAAATGAAAAAGTTAGGCTAGATTGATATATAATGCTGAGCTGGTGAAGAGGTTTAATATTTTAATAGGTACCTACTCTTACCTTCACTCTGTTGAACATATCTTCTATAATTCTAATACATAATTGTATTGAAAGACAAAATAAAATTAATTTTTTTTATATTTTATAAAAAAAAATATTGTTATTATAGAAGAGACAGCAGGATATCGAAAACTAATATATTTGTTATCTGTTATTTCACTTTGCAATGTCGTAGTGTTCTGTTTTTCATACATCCTTAATTCATACATCTTTTCAACAATGTTTATTGTTCCTGAGTTAATCTATAATAGTATTTCTTAAAAACATGCTTTTATGGAACACAGTTGATAGATGATATAAATTTTAAATAATTTAAATATGCCAAGTTAGAGGATCAAACCTGATATAGTTGTTATTGCTCGAGTAAGCTACAAATTGTCCTATATTACTACTTTACTATTTACTGGTGCTGTAATCAATAGTACAAATAGTAACTTTGTAAATTCAACGCTTTAATATTTATATACTTATATATTCATATATTTATAATATAATAGTATAAATTTTTCGGAGCTCCAATCGTTTATATTTATCGTAATTGATTTAGAATTGTTCTTCAATACGTTTTTGCACAAAGAAATTTTTGGAATTATTTATGCTTTCAACCATTATAGGTTTACTTTTTATTAGGCGTATAGATTTAAGCGTATCTTCTTTCATACTGGTCTGAATATTCCTTGGGGAAGTGTACATCGATTTCATATCTATGCCTATTTTCGCATCAACATCGTATGTTCCAAAATTTTTAATTTTATGGATTTGAGTAAAATGTTGCTCCATGACGTCCTCTCCTTCGAGATTCATTTCACATAAAATTTGTCCTTCGTTAATATTAGTTTTGCAATTGTTGATGGATGTCACTGGTTTCCCTAATACATTGAGTTTAAGGCGTTTGGTTTTAATAGGTTCTACATTTCATTATCAGTTGTAGTAAATATTATCCAATGTTTACGTTTTCTTGAAGTTTACTTCGCTTAATGTCAGTCCTTGACAGTTGCAAAAATTGTTACTCGATTCATTGGATGCAATTTTTTTGTGATTTTTTTCTTTTCGGCTTACGTATCTTTATTTGCTTGTATTTCTGGATCAATTTCTCATTAACCGTGTTCCGATCTCTACGTCTACGATTTCCTACTTTAGTTACAAGTTGCTTTGTGAGTCCATATTTATTTTTTCTCCAAATTGATTGATTCTGAGCTCTTAGATTTAACGTTTGTTTTTGAAATAGTTTTCTGTCACTTTTTCAGTTTCTCTCTGTAATTTTCCTTTTCGGCTTTATAGGTTTTGCAATCTGCAAGTGGCTTACGTTTGCGTTTTCGTTTAAATTTAGTACAGCACAAATTCGCAAAAAATTCTTTATAAACATTGATATTTTGAATTACATCCAGTAAACTTAGTGCTAATCGCACTTCTCTTTGTGGTAACTGGAAAAAATTTTTAAAATATAAGATAAAATTATTTTTAATTAAAACTATTTAATGCAAAATAACAAAAAAAAATGTAAACAAATCTTTACCTTGATTTTGAAAGAAATTTCCCTCACTAGCACTTTCTTCGTCTTTGACTTATTAAGTGTATCTAAAAGTACCCATATCTGACTTAAACGCATAAACTGCATTGCATTAGATTGCATTTTGACAAAATTGGTGCTTATTCCACGCTAACTTTAAGAAGAACATAATAATCATCAATGAAGTTATTTAAGAATTTACTATCCGATAGAACCAAATTGTATGTTATATGACAAATATCCAAAAATTATGTAAATATTTTGAAATTGACTATAATCAAATTTAAGATATGTGAAAAATTTTTGTTAAAAATTGTGATTTGACTGTCTGCATTACATGCCTTCATGGTATGCAGAAATACCTTTTGCGGCAAAAAGAGCGCAAAACTGCAGTAACCATTCTTTATATTACTGTTTGAATAACAAAATGATTTAATGATTAAAAAATTAATTACTCATTTTGAGTTTTTGTTGAAGAAAGTTTAATAATATAAAAATTACATTTAACTCTGGACTCTATTACTATTTAGTTTGAATAAAAACTTAACCGAATGATACGTATACATTCGCTACTTACATAAATATCTTGAATTTCAGACGAATTAATCAAAGCCGTCTATGATACTTCTTGTCATATCCCATGGTCTATCAATTCTTTAAAGTTATGTAAAAGTTTGAATTGTTTATGATCATAAAAACCTATTCGAAGTTTTTATTCAACTTACTATAAATATATATTGAAACTACTCCAAATTAAGGAACAAAAAATTTTCTTTCACCGAGACAATGAATGCATCATTTTATAAAAGGATTACAGAAATTATAAAATTGACCATATTGTACTTTTGTTTTTTCACCTGTTATATACTTCCGATCTGGCTCTCAACAACTACTAACTGCAGAGAATGAATTCTCCAAAGAATAAGACTTGGTTCAATGCACCATAGAAAATGTTAGCTGAAATTGAAACTTATTTCAAAGGAAAAAAAAAATGTTAGAGAATGTAATGTAAACGAATGTATTACTCCTGCTGAGTTAAGTTTTTGTATTATTAATCACTTTAAGAACATATTGACTGATGTGTTAAGAGATACTAAAAAAAATCGACTCCTACTTACCATGGATTTATCAAACATTCTCCGTAAAAAAAAAAATACAGATTATACGATTTTTATATAAGCATAGTTTTAAGAATAAAGCAATTTTATTTTTATGTTAATATATTTTTTTATGTTTGCAGCTAGAGGAATTAAAAACCAAGGAACGAAATATTGGGCACCTTAAAAAGGAATTACAAGTTCTACAAACAAAACCATTGAATGAAACAAAAAGTAAAAATTTTACGACGAAAACTCCAACGAACAAAACGAAATTAATTAAACCAAAGAAAAATAATTTAAATAAAAGTAAACAAAATAACGAAACAAAACCTAAGAAAAATGATGAAGCTAAGGATGCCAACAAGGCTGAAAGCTCAAATGAGGTGAGTTTTTAATTTTTTTTTTAATAATAATAAAAATATATATAATATTTAAAAAATTATTGTCTCTTCCCCGTTTCATCTTTCACTTTTCTTGTATTTAGAACAGAACAGTTGTTCTTTTTCATATTTGATAAAATATTTTTTTAATGGACGATAATGGTAGTAGTTCGTTTTTCTGAAATCTGGGGAAGAAAAAAAATCAGACGATGATAGATGCAGAATATTCTCTATTTATGAGTACCTAATGAACAAGATGAGATATTCTCAAATAGAAAATAAAGAGATATAAATTGATCTTCTAAAGGAAATAGTAGTAATGCGGGTTATAGTCAACAAGAAACACACGAAAAATTGTTCTTAATGTTTTAGATGAACCAAACATAAGTAATAAATTATGACCCAATAATGGAACTCAACATAAAAATTGCTCATTTTTTAACTGGTTACTGTTGGCATTATCACGTGTACCGTTGTTTATTATATTTTATTTTTTTCTTTTTTACTGTCTAATTTACACATTAGAGTTGAATTGAAGACAAGTGTGCTCAACAGGCACGAGAAAACAAAAAGCAACAAGGCACATGCAAACACTATATACAAAATAAAAAAATTTGTAACAACAACGATATTGTGTTGCGTACTGTACGTAATTGTTAATTATGAAAGTTAATTGTTCGTAATATTAAATTGAATTTGCATCCTAGCCAATTGAATTATTGAAACATAAGGAAGTATAACTATATTAAGTTGAAACACAATTATTTCTGTGAAGTTTATGTCAACAAGATAGTAACTCTACTTAAGTAATTACATTTTTGATGGTTGATTTAAATGAATTATGTTCATTTAAATAGCTGACGTTCACTGTCTGGTATTGATCCTATATGGTAAAATGAGTGCTAATAAATACTTAAACTTTAAATATATGAATAAATTTATTTGATTTTATTTTTATTATGTTATTTATTATAATAACAAATATAGTGAGCCTTGTACTAATAACTGTTCAATGATTTATTGGTTGCACAGTTATTGCATTCTACTGGTATAGATAATGAACAAAAAAAAATAAAACGAAATTTCTATAGGTAGCGTCACAAAAAACGTCTTCAGCCTCACAAGACATGTTAATTATAATATTATTATTTCCTTATTACCTTGTGATTTATAAGGTGATTTATGATTATGAGGTGAGATGTCTGTGGATGTTCGGTATAAGTTAGTTTTTACTCATTTATACTTTACTTATATTTGTAACTATCGTAGTTCTGTAAACTTACCAGTAGACTTTTATTTACTATGCCGCCAAATAATTATGCAGACATTTTTCTTATTTCAAAGAGGTATGATCTTAGAATATTTATTAACAACAGAATTTTATTTCTTAGCTAATTAAATATAAAATCAGAAAATATTTCTTGAAATATGTCTATCAATTTAAATTCTATAAAAAATATGTTGTATATAAAATTATTTCAACCCTTCATTTACTTTAAAATTTGATAATAAATGCAACGACACAGTTTTTAAAGTTTATATGCAATTATTTATATTCTTAAATACAATTAGTTGAATTGATCCAGTGCACTTGAGCACTTTTATTCTTTCTTAACTCGAGGTATTTTCAAATTCCCTCTTAACGCCTTGACCGATTATTGTTTATCACTTCATCAGACTAAGCATTAATTGACCTCAGATCTGCATACCTCCCCGAGGAACCTGTAACCATTCTGAGATGGTTTTTGATGGGATCAATCTTGAGGTCCCTGAGGATGTCATTCGTTCTAATGTACTATGGTGCTTTGAGAAATCTTCTCAGAGCCTGACTTTGTGCAATTTATAGCTGGCGAATAGTAGTGTTTGAAGCTTTGTTAAACGCTACACAACCTTATAGAAGTGACGGACGAATTATTTGGTTATATATCAGCTTCCTTTTTTTAGCATTACGGAATAGCGGTTGGAGGTGATGAAGAATTTTGGCATAGCTAATTCTTTTCAGTTGAATATGTTTAAGCCATGTGAATCGTTTGCCCAGCGTGATACTGAGATATTTAACGCTATCCTCCCAGTTTATTACCATATCACGCACTCTCACTCTCGCAGGATTCTGTCTCCTTAAAAACTTACAGAGTCTTGGTTTTTTCATTATTGATTTATATTTTACATTTCTGGAAATACTCTTGAAATAATCTTGCTCTTGAAGTGTGTTGGTTATGTTGAGAGCACATATATCTGAGTATAGCACACACGTATCCTCAGCATATAACGCCAGAGTCGAGGGACCTAACATTGAAATATCAGACGTATAAATGTTGTAAAGAGTGGGGGAAAGTGGCGATCCCTGAGAAATCCCTGCTTCTATAGATCGGACTTACGAGAGATTAATTTTCGTGCGAAAGGACCTCCCACGTAGGAAGCTGCCGATGATCTTAGTTAGTCTGCCTGGAACACCTAGATGAGACATTTTTACTATCAGGCCATCATACCAGACCTTGTCAAAAGCAACAAAAAAAATATCAAAAATGATCATTCCAGTCGACTCTCTTTTACTTAGAGCTGTTTCGATCATTTGGGCCGTTCGTCAGAAGGATATTGCGTGAAGCCACTACAGCATTTAATCTGCTAAGAATTACCCTTTCGGTAATCTGAAAAGTAATATAAGATGGAATCCAAATATAACAGAACTTTTCACAAATAAATATTTATTGTTATTACACTTTTGTTTGTTCAATTCTTATTCTTGCATCAATTGTACAAATATGTTGTTACACTAAAAGCAATGAATTGCTCTCAAATTTTAGGTTAAGTTGGTAAATGATCTACCTTTGTAACTAATGTTATTACAAATACATGTCCACTTTAAAATTATCAATTTTTAATCTTGTAGGTGTGTATACTTAAATATTTTGTTAACATGGGATATATGCAGTCTATAGTCATACATTGAAAAAGTCACACTGCACAGGAATTACTTTACTTAGTTGAATTCTTATCAATTACAAAGTAAACCCCTTCACTTCAAGCCCACAAGCTGTATGTTCTCAACTTAGTTTACATGCTTAAGAAAGTAAAAGTCAAATTGCTTTCTAACAGCATCAAAAAAAAACAAAATAACTAAAAAATGCGCCATACACTGTAACTGTCTTTGACACTTTTCTGTTGCTCATTTAAGTATCTCAGTTTTTTTTTCTTAAGTTACTAATAAAATTTGTCAACTTTTACTGGCAATAAAAATAAAAAAAATATTTTTATTGTTCTTTGTCTAAAATTGAGGGAGATGAAGGTGAAAGTAATGGGTGTGAAGTCTAATGTAAATTTCAATTTAAATTTATATGTTTTTGAACTTTTATTCTAATTTCTGTTTATAACCTAAATGCTTAACTATTAATATAATTAACGCCAACACCAATCTCATTAGTAATGACTACGGCATCATAAATTTTAGCAAAAATGTAAACAATTTCATAATGTTTTCTCAGTTGCTTTACCCGCGTTGACCAACTTAGATTTTTAACACAAAGTGTATCTTAAGTTTGAGAAAGTGTTGATTATATTAATTAGGAAAAAAATTAATAATGTTTATTTTATGCGAAGCAATATTTTCGTAATATTTTTTTTTTGTATAATATTGAATGGTGCAATGAGGATAGTATCTGTTAGAAGTATGTACTCAAATATTTTAATTTTTTATTTGGCTTTAGGCTGCTTTTAGACTTCAGAAAAATAGAAAAAATGATGCTATTAGTAAAAGTAAAAACAGTAAATTGAGAATTTGTATAAAAAAATAAAAAAAAATAAAAAAATTGTTTAAAAAAAATTAAATTTACAAAAAAGTAATTATCTTGAAATCTCTTCAAATAAAGAATGAATATTGATAAAGAACAAATAAAGAACAGTTGACCTAACGCCTAAGCCTAGTATAAAACTGACTTATTTCATATATATTTTATTGTCTACAAATTTTGTAAGCCCCATTTCGATCAGAGGAAATGATATATTTATAATAAACCAATTTTCGGAGTATATAAGGTTTTTTTTTTTAATTTTTGAGTCAACTAATTGAATGTTTAAATAAAAAAATTTTGGATTAATATATATTTATCTAAACTTAAATCTTGATACACAATAGATTGTTCTGCCACTAGAGACCATGAGTTTCAGATAGTTTGTCGTTATGTTTCGGTACTGATTTAATATTAATCATGTACTTACATTCACAGCTTGAGAATTATATTTTCTTTTTTTATTGTAAAGCTAAAAATATCATGTTTAAAACATCACTAGCGTAGAAAACTTTCATGATATAGTTAATTGGTTTAGATAGTTTATACAGTATTAGTTTATTATGTTATTTAGAAGGTAACAATTGTCAACAGTGATGCTATCGTGTGACTTATAGACTCTCTTAAAATTTCTATACATGTATTTATATAAGTTTTGGGTGCATTCAAATCAAACAACAATTTAGATCAAATTGAATTAATTCTGAGCCTCATTCAGTATATAAGATAGTATTGTTTCCCTTGTACATACTATAGCAATTAATATGCCAGACAAGGCATGGGGCTTATTATCTAAAAACGGCCTAAATGATAAAACTACGATTACAGCTTTATTTGTTGTCCTAAACCTGAAGGTTGTAAAATGATACTAGGTACCAAGAATTACTAAAGAAAATCTTGTGTAACGCTCAAAAGGTGAAAATTGAAAGCAGTTCGTTATAAAGTTCCTAAACGGTCTGGTACAACATCGATAGTCAGTCTTGTCAAGAACTATCTTGTTTTTAATTTCTTAACATAAAACATCATTTAATATGTCTAAAAATTATTTTTTTATTTTAACTATTTAGACTGTTAATAGAAACAAGAACATATTTTTAATATTGCATTGAACAAAGTAACAAAAATACAATATGTTCTTTCTGACGACAGTCCTTGACGTCTTAGAAACATAAGAGATTACAATAAGTGACATATACAATAAGTTACGACTTCTAGACTATATTGTCAAGTGATTATCATATTGTTGCGCTAAGTAGCAAATATTGTTCTTTAATAAATTTGAAAGAAAAAACAAAATTATTTAATTGATGCACTGTTGATTTTAGAAATTCCAAAATATATAAATTTTGTCGGTCTATGCGCCGGTGAAGATGAGAACAAGGATGAGAACAATAAAATAAGCAGGCATGATAATAAAATACTTTGCGGCGACTACAACGCAAAGATTGGAAAGGAACAGTCAATAATACAACAAGTCGCAGGAAAACTATCCCGATAACGATAATGATCTACGTCTATGTAACTTTGCCGACTCCCAAGGATTATTTATAAGTAGTATATCCTTTCAGCACAAGCGTACACATAAGCAAACCTGGAGAATACCAGGACAAAATGATGCCAATCAAATCGATCATATATTAGTAGATAAGAGACATATGTCTTCAGTTATTGACGTACGATCTTACCGGGGTGCAAATTGTGACTCAGATCACTATTTGGTTGTTGCGTGTATTCGTCAAAAAATGAATACAATAAGAAACATTGGAACGTCGAGGCCGTCATAACAAATGAATCTGCAAGAGCCGCTTATCAAGAAAAAATTGTAAACAAACTAGAAGAAAATAATGAAACGATAAGAGAATCAGACGTAGCAGTAAGGTGGCAGGGCATTAAACAGGTCGTAGTTAGTGCAGCAAACGCAACTATTGGCCAAAAAACTCACTCCATCAATGAATGGTTTGATTCAGAATGCAGAGAGATTATCAAAACAAAAAACGATGCTAGAAAAATATACATTGATAATGGTATCCGAACAAATTTGCTTAAATATCAAGAAAAAAGAAAAGAAGACAATAAAATAATACGAAAAAAGAAAAAAGATTTTCTGAAAAGAGAACTAGAAAGCATTGAATAAGATTTTCAAACAAATTAAACAAGATTAGTGTACCGCAGATTACGAAAACATACGCGCATATTCCAACCGCACATGACAGGTTGTAAAAATAAAAATGGTGAATTGATCAGTCATAGAAAAGAAGTTTTAAATATTTGTAAAAACTATTTCAGCGATCTGCTGAATAGCAATGAAGTCGAAACCGCTGCTGATACCGTATGGACAGTTGAAAATATGCTAGGAGAACCTATATTGAAGGACACGAAACAAGCAAGAGAAGTTAAAAAACTTTAAATCGTGTGGAGAAGATTCTATAAACGCTGAACTGATCAAATATGCCGGAGAAGAGCTTCACAAACAGATACATGAATTAATACTTCAAATCAGGAGAACAGATAAAATTCCAGAAGAATGGTATACAAGCATAATAGTTCCTATCTATAAAAAAGGCGACAAAACGAGCTGTGCTAA